CTGAAGTATATGAGATGTGCGATGTTCAGTTACAAAGACTTAGATTCTTCTTGTCATCTTTATTCATTGCCCAGCTCTCAGATGCATAGCAAGTGACTGAAAAGACCAAAATAAACAGCAGCTTACGACACCATACATACTCCCCTAGCACAAACGAAAGGATATTTCTTTTTATTCTGCAAGACCGTGAAATAAAGACCTGGTGCAGATCCAAATACTGATGAGTTATCTGAGTATGTAATTTGAAACAGATCTCTATGCATGCACCAATTTCATCAAACCCTAAGATTGCATGGTTTTCCTCTGTTATCGTCCCCCTAGTCAGATGCAATGATAAGGAAACAGTAAATATGCATGCGCTTCCTTTCACTCTGAATTTCATGGGTTCTTAATGTATGTATTAATGAATTGGGTTTATTCTGCTGGCTCTGTGAATAAAATTCTGTGACCTATTTTTTTCCCTCTGTCATTAGTTTACAGAGTTGAAAGGTCATTTAAAATATCACAATGCCTTTTTTGTTTAAAATGGGGGGGGCAGGGATAGCGTCTTTCTATTCATTAGCTTCTTTGTTCTCTGTCAGAAGGCCTGTTTTTTTAGGAAGTGGATGGCTGATCCTTCTTCCTAGTCTGTCTTTATCTAGGAGCTCTGTTACAGCCTCTCCGCCCTGGGTGGCTCTTCGGGTACCTGAGACACTGGTGGTACAGATGCCAGCATTGGAGCATTCCTCAAACCACACCAATACAACAGACTGACAGACAAGTGCTGTACCAATAGGAGCAAATAATGACACCCAAAACAATACACATGTAAGATAGTTAATTGACATGAGGCAAATCATTCTCCAATAATCAGACTGAGGTGGTATGCCTCTAAAAGCAAGTTGTAAAGAAAAGTAGGCATGCAAATGTCACAGTACAGCACACCCTTTGCAGGCCACAGCTGAGGCCCGAGTGACGTGGCAGGTTTGGCCCAGACAGTGGCACAGATCACTCATTAGTGCTGGTGGCCTTGTGGCTTCCTGTCGCCCCCAGACCTCTGCTCACTGCTCAGGACCCGATGCAGGGCTTTGGCTGCCCCTGATGATGCCTGCAGACCTTTGCCAGGGCCTCTGGATCCAGGCCTCTGGCCCGGTGGCTCCCCATTACCCGCAGAGCTCTGCTCCACTGCCCAGGACCTGATGCAGGGCTCCAGATGTCAGTTTGAAGACTTAAGGTGCGCCTTATTCAGGCCATTGTCTTCTCAGTCACCTGCTACACGTTAGAGAGCTGGACAAGGAATCAAGTTGACAGAAGAAAATTTGATCTTTGAGCTGTAGTGCTAGAGAAGAGTACAGAATATCCCATGGACTGCTAAGAGAACAAACAAATGTTTCCTGGAAAGGGTACAGCCAGAGTCTTCATTGGAGGCAAAGATGACAAAGTTTTATCTTTCGTACTTGGGACATGAAGCTCGGCAGGGCTGTTCCTTTGAAAGGGGTATCATGCTCGGAAGGATGGGGGGTCAGCGAAGAAGAGGAAGACCCACAATGAGATAGATGGACACTGGGACTTCAGCAATGGGCTCTAGTGAGAATAGCACAGAAGAGCACAGGTTTCATGTTGGCTGTTCATAGGATCGCTGAGTCATGCTCAACTTGACAGCACCTAATGACAACTAGAGTTAGTTAAACATTAGTTTAAGGAGCTCTGTTGGTTGTCTGATTAGGTGTGCGGTTGCTAATGATGTGGTCAGCAGTTTGAACTTGCCGTCTCTTACCCACGAAAGGACCAAGCAATCTGTTCTACAAAGGTGATTTTTAATTGTGATTTGAGTGAAAGTTTAAAAAGCAAATGGGTTTTTGATTCAACCATTAACACACATTTTGTTTTAGAATTAAGAACTATTTCTGTGAAGATGGACAACCTCAAAGAACTGGCACCTCAGAGAGCTTCCTCTGTGTCCTACAGGGCTGCTTGGAGTCAATGAACTTGGTTACCAATGAATTTCGTTGGGTTTTCAGCAAACATGTAACAGTGCATACTACATGCCAGGCTCCGTATTGAAAACTAGAGCTATAATTTTTTTTTCTTTTTGGTAAGAAGCTGTGCTTTTTTTTAAAATTTTATTTTATTATTTGTGTGCGTGCGTGTACCATCAAATCAGATCTGACTGGTACAGGAGGAGATTGTCCCTCCTTTCCCGGCAGAGCATCTGGTGGATTCGAACCGTGCTCCTCTGGGATTGCAGTGCAGCTTCTTGCCACTAGGCCACTAGAGCTCCCCTAGAGCTATAATTTTGAAGACTACTCCCCCCTTTTCTCTCAGTGTGTCTTGCAGCCATGTAGCTCCATGCTCGTTATGGAACCCAGTAACTTACTAACTCACTGCCACCAAGTCGGAAGCAGCTCAGTGGCTTTTCAGAGGCTGTAAAACACACAGGGGGAGATTGCCTTCCACCCCCCCCCCCCAGAGCAGTTGGTAGATTCAAACCACCTGCTTGCGGGTTGGCAATGCAGCTCATTAACCACTAGACCACCAAAGCCTCTGCAGAGCCCACCCGATCCTTTGGTTCTGTTAAGGACATGGGGCGTAGGGCCCTAGGAAAGGGCTGCAGCTGGAAGAAAGCCAGCAAGCCTTCAAAGAGGGTGTGCTTGCTGCTTGGATTGCAGCTAGAAAATGCCAGAATTCATCAGGAGGAAAGAGGAGGAGACTGCATTCTCACGTGGGCAAAGGCCTGGGGAAGGGCCTGTTGTCTTGGAGAGGCTCCTGAAAGTGTGCCTGGGCTGCAGCTGGTTGTCTGGGATGAAAAAGTTGGTGAAGAGGTTAGAGAGGAAGATGGGGAAGATGGTGAAGGGCATTATAGGCTATACTATGATCCTACTGTGAAGGAATTATTCAACAATTGCAACTAAACGAACTGCTGATAAGTTGAACACCTCTGGCATTCAGTGTGGTATTCCAGGCTGTGGGAATGTGGCATAACATAGTTTTAGCCTCAGTTATTAAACCAAATCAAACCTGTTGCGTTGGAATCAGGTCTGCTGGAGTCAGATGCTACTTTGTGGGATTTTCAGTAGCGTTTTGCAAACATCAATATATTTTGGAAGGAGGTTGCCAGGCTTTTCTTCCTAGGTGCCTCTGAGTTGGCTTGAACCATGAACCTTCTGTTAGTAGTCGAGCACTTAATTGCACCACCAGCGACTCCAACCTCAGCCCTTGTTGTTGTTGGCTGTGTACAGATTTACCGCTGCCCCTCCAGCGGGCTCTCAGAGGTGGTCAGTCACATGGGAGGAGACTGTTCGCCTTTCTCCTGCGAGCACCTGATGGACTTGAACCTCATGCTTTTGTGTTGGCGGTATAATTCCTTGGTCACAAGAGTGATTGGATGAGAATGGAGAAGTATCAGTACGTATCCTTAATTACTGCTGGAAAAAAATGCTCCGTATACTAAGTCAATGTAACTTATTCATTGAGCGCTTAATAGGTGCTTACAGGAAGCTTGTAAGAGGCTTTGATGGCTTAGTAGTAAGAAGCTATGCTGCAATCTCAAAGCACACGGTTGCTACTCAACTTCTTGGACCTTAAATAAAACCCAGACTGTTTACTCAAGCCCATAAGCTTCCATGAGTTCTGGTTCTTGTCTCCCTCCCCACCCTCGTCTTGCGCCTTTCTTCCTCTTTACCTTGCAGCCACGTCACCTGCAATACTCCCCACCCATCTTGGGGTCAGTTGGCATCTCCTCGCCCTTTTGCCTTAGCCTGTGTGTTTACTTTCTCCATGGTCTCTCATTGGCTGGAGTCTACAGGAGGACCCCTGTTGCTTTGTCCGTGTCTGAGAGATTGCATGTCTCCCCTCATTGCATCTGCCACAGCTGGTAAATGTGTGTCTGCTCACCATTGAAGCTGTGTCCTGACTCACTTTCCCAGTGGACTGACCAGTAGCCGCCTGAGGACTGGAATCCTACCTGTTCTCTTCTTCTGTTTGCAGAACTGAACACAGCCTCTGGCACATAGTAGGCCTAGAGAACTGCCAAGGCTCAAAAACATAAATTTATTCCTTTAGTTTCTAAATTCTGAATTTAATAACAAACAAGAAAAATGAAGAAAACCATCTTGTATTCTATAAGCTATTGGAACTCTTCTGGAATCACTCGTGTCTCACCAGAAGGGAAAGGATTCAGAGTCTCAGAAATTATCACATGGTTATTGTATGATTTGGGGCTGTTTTAAAAATAGTGGTTTTTATGGAAGTCTTGATGTATAAAAATGAACTGCTCTTTTATATATGTGGAGGGGTTTTTTTCTTGTATATATTAAGGCTCAATTCACTAAAATGTTTAAATTCTTGGCTCTGCTCTTTAAACCTACTACAAAGATCACATTAGAATTCATTTTAATAGACATTGTAAGCACAGTATCCAATCTCATATTATCACGCTGGGCTCTTTTATTATGAGAGTCACAGGAAGCTGAGCCCGAGGCTGTGGAACGAGACATGGGGTCTGTCTTGGGCTGGGGCCAGCGCCAGCTCTATTGTTTATGTAATATTCTCTCCACCTTTATCTGTGGTGCGCAACTGCTATTGACTTTTGAGAAACTACTTCTTTGACCCGATCTCCCAGTTGGAGAAAACCCTGCTGCAATGACATCTGACTAGGAAAAAAAAAAGGATCAAAAAAGCAGAAGGAAAGACAAATGAGGAGGCCTTGTTTCATAAGTAGTTCCAAGCCTGCCTGTGAGATCTGCTGGACGGTCAAGTGGTCAAGTTTTTTCAAGGACACCATCCTTTACTTGCCTGAAAATCAGAGTCAGCGCTTAGTCTCTGCCCTTTTGACTATTGGTCGCCAATATTGGGTCCATTTCACATTAACAGCAATGCGTTTTTCCCCCCTTACATCTGTAGGATTGGACATTGTTGGCCAAAATAAATTGTGATTGTTTGTGGTATTTATTATTTGTGTTTCATCTCTTTTTTAAGAGGATGATAGTTATCTTTGGCAAATTGTCTTTTCCAACTTTCAGGCATCTCCCTGGAGGACTTTCTAAATGTCGTCAGGAGGAAGAAACAAATGCAGCTGCCCTGGAGTGAAGTCAGACACGTCTTCACAGCGTTCGACAGGCACTGTGAGTGTTTTTAAGGTGTTTCGATGTACAAAGGAACGATGAGTGTGAAAGCCTCGTGGTACAGTCAATTAGTTAGGTCTTGACTGCTGACTGAAAGGTTGAGAGTTCAAACCCATCAGTAGCTCTGCGGGAGAAAGTTGGAGAAGTTTGCTTTCATGAAGATGACTAGTTGTTGTTATTATGTGCTGTCGAGTTGCCTGCAACTTATAGTAACCCTATGTACAACAGCTCTAAACCCTGCTCTATCCCTTTCCAATCTTATTGTCTCCAACACACCTATCTTTATTACCCCAGTGACTGAGTCAATCCACCTCATAAAGGGTCTTCCTCTCCTGCACTGTCCCTCCACCCTCCCAAGCATGACGTCCTTTCCAAGGACTGGTCTCTTTTTGCAACATGTCCAAAGTATGTCAGACGAAGCTTCAGGATCTTTGCCTACAAGGAGCAGCCCATCTTCACCCTCTCCAGGAAGAACTTGTTTCTTCTTCTAGAAGTCCATAGTATATTCTACACTCTCTTCTCCAGCACCACAGCTCAAAGGCATCAACTTTCTTTCTATCATCCCTAGTCTTTGTCCAGCTCTCTGACCCATAGCAAGTGATTGCAAAGAATGTGGCCTGTATCTGGTGCACCTTAGTCTCTAGAATGACATCGTTGCTCTTCAGCACTTTGGAGAGGTCTCTAATGGCAGACTTTCCCAATGCAATTCGATAGCCTTGGAAATTCTAGGGGCCAGTTCTGTTCCTCTGTCCTGTAGGATCACTCTGCATCAATGTCTACCCTAAAAATAAAATCTTCAATACATGGGTATTCTTTGACTGACAGTAGGGCTGCACCCTGACAGTTCCTTCCTTAGTTGGAAGTAAATGGAATACCTTATTTTATCCATTTGTTGTGGTTATTGCCGTAGCCTGCTATACAACCATGTTCTCAACAGTAAATCATAAATATTGAACAGCTGGGAATGAAGGTCTCAGAATGTTAGTACCAGCAGTTTACATGCTGTAGCGTTGTGCGTTGTACGTATTACTAATGATAAGAGGTACAGAAAACAATAATAGGAAAGCCAGGTGTTGGCACATGTGGTTCATCGAGACTCAAGCACGCAGTGAGATGGGGACTACCTGGGCTGCAGTCATTAACTGTTACTTTAGGAGTTGATGGGAATCGTTTCCCATGATGATCTTAAACTCTTGACATTTACTGAGGATAGAATAATATTTACAGTTAGTAACTGCACTTAGGATTTGCCCATATTGTTATGGGGATGGTGGAAGGGCTGGCTGAGGGGGGTCCAGGCACAGAGCGACCTGCACAAGTGGAGAGACCACTTTCTCTTTTGACTCCACCTTTGTGCCCTACTCATGGTCAGGTCTTGACACTGAACTTTATTCATTTGCTTTCAACATTCTAGACATGGACATTCCTGATAGAGGAGACTTAGAGGTTATGTGATGGATTTTTAAAATAAGTTTATCTTTACAAAATGGACAAGTGCCTTGAAGTGACTAGTGTCAGCACATGCCTATAGTAAGGAAGTGGAGAGTGACAGACAGGTCCTGACTCTTCTGTCCCACAGATCACATACCTGGATGAGAAGGTCAGGAAGCCCCGGTCAGTGTCAAGGAGGCCATTTTATCTGTAGATAGTACTGTCACACTTCTAACACCAAGCAAGGAACAAAGGTGAATTTTAATAATGAGTTGTCTCAGCGGTTCATGAAACCTCTGACGTTGTTGTAATGTGCTTAGGGAACACTGGTGGCCTGGTGGAAAGGGGTGGTGCTGCCAGACCAAAGGCACACGGTTCGAGTCCACTAGCTGCTCCATGACAGGAAGCTGGACAGTCTCCTCCTGTGCAGTTTACTGCCTCTGAAAAGCCTCTGGAGGGTCAGTCGTGATTCAGTTCTCACTCAGGGGTACACAACAACAACAACAACAACAACAACAATGTGTACCTCTAGTCCTTCCCTGGGGATTCAGAGAACCAGTGAGTGTTCAAGCCGGAAGTGACCATTGAGGCCATCTGCATGTGCACCGAAGGGGGAGTCCTGCTAGATTTTTAAGTCTTGCTAAATTGTTACTGTTGTGGTGTAATAGTAAGGACTTACACTGCCAACACAAGAGCGCATGGTTCGAATCCACCAACTGCAATGCGGAGAAAGATGGGCATTCTCCTCTCATGCAGTTTACTCAGTGTGAGTTAGTTCTGCCTGTATGACATACAACTACAACAACAAATTATTACTAGTTAGGAAGTTAGGGAGCAGAAAATGGGCCTCTCTCTTTAAGGATATATAATATTTCTACTCTCCTGCCAGTGACCAAAACAAAACCTTTCCCGAGGGACAATCTGCAAAATCAGCCCTAAGTTACTGCTTTTCTCCTCATAATAATGTTAACATAAAGCTTCATGCACATATTCTATTATGGTAACAAAATGAATCCTTTGTAGAATTTGTAGAAGTAAGTCAGTGCTTTCTCTTTTTGTTTTCAAAAAGATCGTGGATTTTTAACTTTGGAAGATTTCAAGAAAGCTTTTAAGCAGGTGGCTCCCAGATTATCAGGAAGGATTGTACTTGAAGTGTTCAGGTAAGACACCAGAGTCTGACTGTCCACTTGTCCCCTGATTTAGCACTTGTTCTCACAAGTTTTCAGTTTGAGAAATACTTGTTTATGTTGATCTTGTATTTATGAGCTTTGTCATCTCACAACATATTGTGTGATCCAGGAGAGGAGTTTATGATTCGCCATTGCTACTGTTGTTGTTCAACGCCATCAGGTTGGAACCAATTTATAATCGACCCTCCCTCCAGTGGATTTTCAGTGGTTGTAAATTGCACTCGAGGAAACGACCTTTCTCCTGATGGGGCAGCTGGTGGATTCAAAGCTCTTGCTTTGGACTGGTGGTTCAGTGCCTTCTACGCTAGAACGCCAGAGCTCCTGGAATTAGCTATTGTTGTTCAGTAATTACATACTTTCAGCATGTAGTTGAGAGGCACCCATCCCTGGAAAAGGACATCATGTTTGGAAAAGTAGAGAGTCGGAGAAGGCGTGGAAGGCACTAAATGAGGTGGATCGACACGATGGCTGCAGTTGTGGGCCTGGCCGTGGCAGAGTGTGTGAGGATGGTGCAGGACAGAGCAAGGCTTGGTCTGTCGTCCGTGGGGTCACTCTGGTGTAGGCAACTGGATGACACCTAAAAACAACAACAGCTGAGTCATTGAGGAGCCCTGGCAGTACAGTGCCTCACGTGATGAGCTCCTGGCTAAAGATCAGGGCTTTGAATCCACTGGCGGATGAGCTGCAGGACAGAGGTGGAAAGTTCCCCTCCTGGGAAGATGAACAGCCTTGGAAAGCAGAATCAGTCGCTGGGCTGCTGACTGACAAGGTTGGTGGTTTATACTCATCAGCTGCTCGAAGGGAGAGAAGACGTGGCCATCTGCTTCCGTCGAGACTCATCGCCTTAGAAACCCAGCTGGCCTTCTGGCCCGTCCTCTCGAGGTGCCGTGGGGCACAATCAGGGAAGGTCAGCAGGTGGTGGTGCTGTTAGGTGCCATCGAGGTGGCTCTTCTGACTCCCAGCAGCCTCTGTACAACAGAACCACGCCCTGACAGGTCCTGGACCGTCCAGTCTCTGCTAGTGTAACCAGCATGTCAGTCCATCTCCTGCAGTGTCTTCTCTTTCGCTGACCCTCTGCATATGTCATGATGTGTTTCTCCAGAAACTGAGCCCTTCTGATAACTTACTCCAAGGCTATGAAGTGAAGTTCCACCATCCTCATTTCGAAGGAGAATCCTGGCTACGTTTGTTCCAAGACAGATGTGCTTATTCTTTTAACGGTCCATAGTACACTTGGCATTCTTCACCAGACGCCCGCTTCACAGGCATCAGTTCTTTAGTCTTCTTTGTTCATTGTTCAGCCCACAGTTGAAGCAATTGAAAATATCGTGGGTACATCTTCATCCTTAAAGTGATATCCATACTCTGTAGGATTTTACAGAAGTCCTTGATGCTGATTTGCCCATTTTAATTTTTTTTTTTTTTGGTAACTAGGAACTAGAGATCTTGGGTCAGCTCACTGACCTTGAGTCCATCCGTCCCCTGGCCAGCATGCCCTAAAGTGGGTGGAACATTTACCAACCAGTGAAGGTTTTCATAGGACTAGGTGATGGGGACAACATAGGGACAAAGTAGAACTTCTCCATTTGTTTACGTAGCCACTAAAAACAAATGGAGCTTGCTTCATACTCAGCCCCTGGCGTTCCCCTGTGGTCTGGACCTCAGTCATACACTGCTTGTCCCTGGTTCTTGAGTTGTTTGGAGCAAGGAAAGAGTTGGAGTTGTTTACCAGTGGCCTTCATTCATTTATTTTCAACATTTTGGACATGTATTACCACTTATGCATTCTTGATGAAGGGGAGTTAGAGGTTATATTATGAGGTTTTTATAAATTTATCCTTATACAATGGACAAGTGATTGAAAAGAACTTTTGTACATTGAAGATGATATTAATAGTGCCAACACATGCTCACAATGAAAAAACGGCAGAGCTGACATTTCTCTGACAGGAGATTTTCATGAAGCTTCTCACAAGCGTTCGTATTTAGGGTTCAGTCCAGCAGAAAGAACAAGAAACCCAAAATAAGACAAACTCTTAAGAAGATAGAACTGAATTATTTCCCTGTCACATAAACAGGCAGGTCAGACTTGCCTTGATGTTGACCTGGGTCTCTGTCCATTTGTTTGTTGATGGTGTTTTTTTCTCTCCTAAAGAAGAAGAATCAGTGCCTTTGAGTTGTGGAGCTGGATAAGAGCACTAAATGTCCCACAGACTAGCAGGGGAACAAACAAATATGTCTTGGAGAGGATGCATCTTGAATGCTCCTGGGAGGGAAGTCTGGTGAAACTTCTCATATATTTTGGGCATGCTATTGGGAAGGGCCAGTCCTTGGGAAAGGTCATCATGCAGGTGTGCAGGGTGAGTGAAGGAGGGGAAGACCCTCAAGGAGACAGAACAACATGGTGACTGTCACAGCGGGCTCTAGTGTGGCACAGATGGTAGGGAAGGCAAAGGAAAGGTCAGGGTTCATATCCTTCATTCATAGGGTCGCTATGAGCTGTAGTCCACTCTGTGACACCTCGTTACAGCAACATAGTCAAATTTCATCTCTATTTTGGTGAATAATATTTTCTCCTGAAAAAAACCACAAAGCACATCATTATAAAGTAGGGAAAAAATGTTTCTTCTAACGTGAAGTAGGCCCAGTAGTAGCAGTCAGTGGTGAAAGTGCATATACTTAAGACCTCCTTTTCATTTTATAAGCTAAACCAGTGATAAGGCCAAGAATCAGTCCACTCTATGGCTTGGTGGAAATCCTGGAGGTGTGAAGCCATCGTTGATGGAGCGTTCGTTAAATCTGAAGGCATCGCAAGAGCCTAATGAGATACTTTAAAAAGGTTTAGGAATTGTTGCTTAACTACTCTAATGATATTTACTTTAATAATTTTATCATGAGTAAAAGCAGCATGTGTGTGTGTTTTAATATACTGTCGGGGTTCTTAACATTCACTTTCTGTTCTGCAATCATAATTTCCTCATTTGTTTCAGTCTTAATTCTGCAGTTAAATGAATTCAATACTCTTTCAGGCCTCGTGCCATATTTTCTTCTTGTCTGAAGCTTATTCTCTAATGAGGAACATCACACGTTTTTCATGTTCAGAGATTTCCCCCACATCCCCCGCCCCCTGGGCCATTTGTAGTGTTGTTAGATACCACTGAATAACCATTCTAACTCAGAGTGACCCTTTGTACAACACTGCTCTGTGCTGTCTGTCCTCATGATAATTGCCATGCCTGAGCCTGCTGAGGCCACCTTGTCAGTCCATCTTGGTGAGAGTCTGCCTCTCTTTTGCTCACCCTTTTCTTTTCCAACCATAGTAGCCTTTTCCAAGGACTGGCCTCTCTTGGTAACATGCCCAAATGTGTGAGAAGTCTCTCTAGCCTTGAAGCTAGGGAGCATTCTGGCCACCCTTCTGCCAATCTGGCCACTGAACTTGGATCAAAATACATAATGAATCTTACCATTTCTGAGTCACAGCCTTTTCCCCTTGAGCCCAGTGGTTTTATTTATTCTGAAAGTTGTTTTGGCTTTCTATTTCAGTGCTTGCTCTCCCTACCATGTGCCTTGGTCCATTTTCAGCAATGCCAGTTCTCTTTTGTCCTCTGTGTAGTGTAGTTTCGCTCTTCTTGTTGTTTCTTACCCTTTGGCACGTCTTTCTTGATCTCTGTCTGCAGAAGCTTTATTTCCTTCTCCTGACTTATCCAAATTTGAGGTAGCTTTATAGTTGTGCCAAGAAATCTGGAGAACAACCACTTGGCCAACTGACTGGAAGAGATCAATATTTGTTCGTATCCCAAAGAAAGGTGACCCAACAGAATGTGGAAACTACAGAACAATCTCACTGATTTCACATGCAAGCAAGATTTTACTGAAGATTATCCAAAAACGAATCAGCAGAGAACTACCAGAAGTCCAGGCTGGGTTTAGAAGGGGTCGTGGTACTAGAGATATTGTAGCTGATGTTAGATGGATCTTGGCTGAAAGCAGGGAATACCAGAGGAATGTCTATCTGTGTTTCATTGACTATGCAAAGGCATTTGACTGTGTAGATCATAACAAACTATGGCTGACTCTGAGAAGAATGGGAATCCCAGAACACTTGATCGTTCTAATGCGAAACTTATACTTGGACCAGGAGGCAGTCGTCAGAACAGAGCAAGGGAACACTGCATGGTTCAAAATTGGGAAGGGTGTACGCCAGGGATGCATCCTATCTCCATACCTTTTCAACCTATATGCAGAACAGATTATCCGGGAGGCTGGGCTCTATGAGGAGAAATGTGGGGTCAAGATTGGTTGACAATTTATCAACAACCTGCGTTATGCGGATGACACAGCCTTGCTTGCTGAAACTGAAGAGGACCTGAAGCGCCTGCTGCAGAGTGTCAAGGACTGCAGCCTACAATATGGATTGAGGCTCAATGTCAAGAAGACAAAGATTCTCACCACTGGACCAATTGGCAGCATCAGGATGGATGGTGAAGAGATTGAGATTGTACACAGCTTTGGTTTGCTTGGCTCCATAGTCAACAGTCTTGGCACCAGCAGCCAGGAAATTAAAAGGCACATTGCCGTGGGAAAGTCTGCTGTTAGGGACCTCTCCAAAGTACTGAAGAGCAACGGTGTCTCTCTGGAGACTAAGGTGCGTCTGATACAGGCCATGGTCTTCGCAATCACTTGTTATGCATCAGAGAGTTGGACAATGACCAAGGAGGATAGAAGGAGAATTGATGCCTTTGAGCTGTGGTGCTGGAGAAGAGTATTGAGAGTACCATGGACTGCTAGGAAAACAAACAGATTTGTCCTGGAAAGGGTTAAACCAGGTGGCTCCTTGGAGGCAAGGATTCTGAGGCTCCGTCTAACATACTTTGGACATGTTGTGAGGAGAGACCGGTCCTTAGAGAAGGACATCATGCTTGGGAGGGTGGAGGGACAGCGCAGGAGAGGAAGGCCCTCTATGAGGTGGA